ATAAATAAATGAAGAAAATAGATGAATGATCAAGCTGATTTAGTTAGTTTAACTCTATTCTAGACTGTAATCTTCCAAATTTGAGAATCGGAGCAAGTTTTAAAGTTTGTATATTAGCAAAATTTCTCAGACTGCTCCTTGGGATGAATTATTTGTTATATTTCTCATTTGTAAGTCACTTTGGATAAAAGGGCCTGCTGAATGAATAAATGTAAATGTAAGATAGCTTGTTATTGACCACTTGTTTTCCAAATCCTCCAGACATTCCTCCATCCCAATGGCCACTCATTCAGGGGACGATACGTCCACTTTCTTTTGCCTAAAATGTCCATAGTTTTGTCTTTGTATTCCTACTGATCCTCTTTACAGTCCTTGTACATTATATGTACGCATATTTGAATTGCTTTGTCCGTTCTCTGTAGATCCCACCTTCTCGCATGCCACGATTGGCTAATTATGTAGAACGCGTGCATGCTATTGGTCAAACTACTCTCCAGTCATTACCTTCGGCAAATATGAAAACAATAGGAAAACAAAGCCAAAACCCAGACATTTTAGAAAGCCCAGCCAGAACATGTCCAGGAAAAAGAGGATGTATGCATTTGTTTTTAGCCTGAACAGATCCCTCTTTTATGAGCTGCTGTGCTGTACAGGATTTAAGCAGGATGGCAGGTTGGCTCTTAGGTTTCTCTGATTCATTAATCATGTTATCCAATGATTTATGTGCTCCCAAATGTCTTTGCTAAATGTGGCAAACTGAAAGATTTTCCATGCTAGGAAAATACAGTTTTTGTCCAATCCCAGTCTTAGTTTTGGATCACTTTATCTGTCCTAAGTGCCCCCACCATCTCTCTCCTGAACTCTTGAATGTCTATTTATACACACACTCGTGAGAGGCATGAGGAAGATAGTGATATGTGAAGGGTATATGAAGGGTATAAGTCGTCTGAAGGCATGAGTGTAATGGCAGATTAGAAGCTATATCTATATAACACACTATATAAATCTGAGCAGTATAATCCAAAGAGCAGACAAATGTAGTAGGGAAACCAGGCTCAGATTTACAGTCTTATGGAAAACAAGACTTGACAGACAGCTGAGAATAACCCAGTGTTTAAATACTCAAATAATACATGGACAAATGAGCAGCAGGATGTGCTTTTTCATTTTTATTTGTGTATTTGTGTTTGCTATTACTCAGAAAAGAATGCACACGGGTCAGAAATTAAGCTTAGAATTTCATTTAGCAGATTCAATCAAACTTACAAATGAGGAATATCATAGCACAACAAATTCAATTTAATATTGTACTTGTCATACTGAGACCACTTTTTAACAAAAAAGGTTAAGTTCATTTTCACATTGAATATCATGTTGAATATCTATTAACCCTTGAGAAAACAAGTACACTGTAGCAAACTTGTAAAAACAGCACTTACTAAGGAAATAATATACACTAAAAATAATTTTTTTTTTTTTTTTTTTACTTCATTGCATTGTGTTTTAGGGTTAACGGAAATTTCCATAAAATTAATGGATAATGTCCTGGCAGAAAATTACCAGTACGTCTTCCTTTCTATTTAATTTTAAAGAAAATACTTAAGTGTGAACTGAATGTAATGTTTTTTGGAGACTTAAACGCATGTTAAGTCAAATCAAATGAAAATATATTAAAGTTAAAATTCAAATGCAATTCGAATATTAAATGGAATTAGCTGAACTTTAGAGTGCTTTTTGACCGTTATATATTTATTTATATTTAACTTCATAATTCTATTGTCTTTGAAATATGGTTAAAGTACCGCTGAATGTACTGACAAGCATTTATGATAAACTAAAATATACTTAAATGCCATTTCTATTGAAACTTGTATGTTGTGTATTTAAATTTATGTGTAATTACACATTTGTAATGATGAAGTTGCAATTTATTACATTTAAAATATATTAATCTTAAAAGTAATATCAAATAACACACTACAGTTAAAATGATAATTAAGTACTTTACTTAGTATTTTAGTCAGCACATCAAAATAAGTGTACTTCTTTAAAGCACCAAAGGTTATTAAAACAAAAATGTGACTAATGTACAACTTTTAATTTGGCATTATTACAAAGTGCACTTTTTCAGAGTGTACTTAAGCATGTTAATGAACAAACTCATAAAAGTCTCTCTCTTTCAGTCACTTTTATCATGAATTTTACATTATCTGCAAGTAGAGTTTTAAAAATATATATACTTTTAAGATTTGAAGGATACTACAAGAGCACTTCCAACACAATTAAGTGCACTTCTTTTCCACAAAGGTTGTATATCCTGTAACTGTATCTTGGAATATTTCACATTGTTGAAGTAAAATGGGCCACAAATGCTGTTTAATGTGGAATTATTTAGTAGGGAGTAGAAAAGTAGAAGAATTCTTCAGATGTTTCTTGGAGATTAGACCACTAAAAAGCATCCCACAATTGAAAGACAGTCAATGTGAAAGTTCATAGACTTCTAATACTAAGTGTAGATTGGAGGGTGTAGATTCTACTACTTTATACTTTTGACCATTGATGAAGCTTTTATTGGTGGTTTATTGTAATTCAGGATCACTGAGGTGATTAACCTCCTTCCCAATCACTCCCTTAACCTTATTCAATCTTAGACGTTTTTCAACCTAACATCCTTTCTGCACAACTCCACACTCCTTCCAAAACTCATAATAGCGTGTGAACTAAGTGCTGGATACTCACACACATGTGTGTATGTTGCAATTTCTGCACCATTGCAGCATCAGAGCTGCCACATACATGGCTCTAGATGAGTCCAGGCTGAGCCCTCTGCCCAAGAGAGTCAAACCAACCTATATGGCCATGGACAAGGAGAACCAGATCATCGGTTATGTGGTGCCCATCTTCAGGGGCAGGTAAAGAAACAATCTGGGATTTGTTTGTGTTGGAACAAACACATGCAGCTGCTCCATACGTCATGATTTCTAATGTTAGCATTGGTTTGGTATTATCAAGCACTTCAATAATATGCTATTTATAGCCCTACACGCGCAAAGTTTAAAAAAAGGCTGCGCATACTGTAGGACTTTATGGCCATATCCCATTGAAGAAATGATTTAGCATTGTTCTTTAACCCTTGTGAAAAAGAAGTACACTTTAGCATACTTTTTAAAAAGTACTGAAATTATATTGTTTAAAAGAATATACTTAAGTGTGAACTGAATGTAATGTTTTTGGACACTTAATTGCATAATAATTGCAACTAAATTAAAATGTATTATATTTTTAATTTATATTAAATGCAATTGACTGAACTTGAGTGATTTTTGACCCACTTAAGTACAGCACTTAAGTACATTTTTTATATGTAATAATTAATTCGAATGTCTTTAAAATATGATTAAAGTATATTTATGCTGAACTAAAATACACTTTAATGTAATTTCAATTTAAACCTGTATGTCATATATTTAAATGTGTAATTACACATTTGTAATGATAAATATGCGATTTGATACAAGATATTAATTTTAAATGTAATATTGAACAATGAACTACTCTTAAAATTATAATCAAGTACGTTACATGTGCTTTAGTATGTTAGTCAACACATCAACATAAGTGTACTTCTTTAAAGCACAAGAAAAGAGTATTAAAACATTAAAAATGTCCTTTAAAGTAAAACTTTTAATTTGGCATGATTACAAAGTGCACTTTTTAAAAGTCTACTTAAGTGTTTTTTAGAAACATAAGTTCTTGCATGTGATTTAGTATGTTAGTCAACACATTGAAATAAGTGTACTTTAAAAAACAACAAAAGATTATTAAAACATGATGTAAAATACTTTAAGATAAAACTTAAGTGCCCTTTTATTTCATTAATATTATGCTATCTGCAAGTACCTCTTTGAAAAAAAAACATACTTTTAACATTTGAAGTACACTACAAGTGCACATTAAGTACAGTTAAGCACCACAAGGGAAAACCTTTGATGGGAACTATAATTTAACATTGAGAGCCCTTTTAATCTGTAAAGAAACTTTGAGCTCACTCAGGAATACTATACAGCCAGAATGGCTTTTGGTAAGAAAATTTGCTGCAATAAAGCGATAGTTTACCCAAAAAATGACAATTCTGTCATAATTTACTCACCCTCAAGTTGTTCAAAACCTGTATGAGTTTCTTTCTTCTGCTGAACACAAAAGAAGATATTTTGAAGAATGTTAGTGACCAAATATTTGACGGTAGCCAATGACTTCCATAGTATTTTTTCCAAAACTTTTTGGTTACCAAAATTCTTCAAAATATCTCCTTTTGTGTTTGAGGATGAGTAAATGTTGACAGAACGTTCATTTTTGGTAAACCCTCCCTTTAAGGGTGGATGTGAGGTTGCCATAGCAAGGTGTTGGAAGTTCTCTTAAAGAACACAGATGTGACGTGGCTTTCTGTTTTGTTCTGTTTTCATAACCATTGTGTATATATAATGTGACGAAATATATGTTGTATTGTGCTGCACTGCTTTGTTTGATTCGAGAGACGTGTGAATGTGATGCTACATAATTCCCCCCTCAGTCATGAGTTTCAAAGCGGCCTATCAGACACTGAGGACGCGTGCGCTAAAGAGAGCGCTGGCTATCTGGCCCGTCGTGACCTCTTCGCTAGCGGCGTGGAGTCGGAGCGCATCGAACACAAGTCCCACAGAACCGTCATGAGGGAGTCAGCAGAGCGCATCTCGCTTAGCAAGAGGGTCAGTGGAGATCCTAGTCCTGTTCCTAAACACATAACTCACTACTGCTGTTGTGGTTAGAGATTAAATATACATTTCTCTTCATAACAGTTCTTAATGAATGGCTATTTGTCAAGTAACACTTCTCACTTAAATTTACATTATAAGAACTACAAACTGTTGGACTGAGCTGCAATACGGCTCTGAGTGCTCTTTTGCTTTATTACACTTGTGAAAAAGAAGCACATACTTTAAAAAAAGAGTACATAATATCCTATGAAAGAATATACTTAAGTGCGAACTGAATTAAATACTTTCCTACAATTAGCTGCATTTTATTTGCAATTCAATTATATATTTTTTTATCTAACTTTGATTTTAAGTTTAAGAGCATATTTAATAGAAATAGTTGAATGCTAGAGTGCTTTTTGACCCATTTACATAGGACTTAAGTACGTCTTTTATTAACAAGCTTTTATGGTAACTAAATTATACTTTAATGTAATTGTTACGGGGCTGACAAGACGTGAGACGTGCGGATCCATC